GCTCGGCCGCGTCCACCGCTACCAGGGCCTCTAACCGTCCGGCCGCTGTTCCCATCGCCCGGCCAGCCTACCTCCCCGGAGGCCCCTTCTAAGGCCACCAGACTTGGAGGAGATGACCACGTGGCATCCTTGAATTGGTTAGAAAAAATCCAATAAGGGAAAGGCTTAAATCACACGAGTGAGAGATAGCTTTTACCTATAGAAAATATTCATGTGCAGCTTAAAAGTGTTTATCACAAGCGTATTCGGGAGGGACTCGAAGTCAGGCTCAAACCAAAGATTTTGATCCCTATATTTTTTGGCCCGATCCGAACCCGACTTGACGATCAGGCGGTCGCAAAAGCCAGCAAAAACAATAAAACAAACATGCCCTTACACAACGACCTTCCGTTGTTCAATCTAAGCATTCGGCTATTCACTTCCTCTGACAAATGGCCATCAAGACCTCTCGCTAATCAGCCCATGCTACACTTCCTCTGACAAACAATAGAGGAGGCTACATCTTTGCTACACTCCCTTCCGCACGGCCGTTCCCAGCCCAGGCCCTGCGACAAGCCCATCAGCCCACTCCCTTCCCTCTCCCTCTATCTGCCCTGTGCCCCGCTTGTCAGCCCCTCCTCACCCTTTCTCTTTCTCCTCGTGACGGAGAATGCAGGGCCGCCGCCGCCCTTGTGCGCGCGGATTTTCCAAAGCACACAGCTGCTGGGACACGGGAAATGAGACAGAACAGAACACACAGCTAACAAACAGTTCATGTGTACATATTCGAGGCTTAAAACTGATTCATCAATCGCCACGCCAAATACCCTGCAACATAGACACCGTGGAGTGCCGGCCAGCATCACTTCCTCACTCAAACTAATGAGTTAAAAATGTCACATAAGTATTTCACATAAACGTAAGGACGATCAGTGTCATACTATGTTTGTGCTTAATCAGGCACTACGTACGTACATATACACCTGCTTGATCTTAATTTATATACCTAACACAAAGACGAACGTACTTTAATTTGATCATGCGTGCACCAGATGCAATGCAACAAAGAGTTGCCATCTCTGGAATGAAACCTTACATGCATGGGCATGTAGTGTTGATTCATTCACGGACGGCGACGTGCAACCAGGGCGAAGAAGCCGCCGGCGGAGGTCGCGGCCCAGACGAGGCCCCCAGCGGGCCACGGCACCAGCGCGCTCAGCCTCTCTCTCTCGGGCTCGGCGGCGGCGGCGGCACCTTCATCAGGCGGGCGGCCGCTGTCTCGTAGGCGCCAAGGGTGCGGTGCAGCAGCAGCACAGCACCGTAGCTGACGGCCACGAAAGCCACGGAGGCGACGTCGCCGGCGGCTGCCGCCCTGTGGATGGCCGCGGCGCAGGTCACGGTCAGGACGAGGATCGCGGTGAAGGCGGCGATCCCGCCGTTGGCGCGCCCGGCACCGGCGCGTCGGCGATCTCGAGACGATGAGATTGCTTGCTTGTAGCTAGCGTAGTGCTTCTGCTTCTGGGTTCGCTGCGAAACGAGGCCTATACTTCCGGACAGGTCGTCGTCGAGTCGTCGTTGTATTGACTGGCTTGACTGCTTGTGAGAATATAAACAGCTTAGGAGGCTTGTGCTCGAAGGAATATAAAAAGCTTCTCGGGCACAAGGATGAAAGCCAGCTGGGAACCTTTGTGGCCTACTTGACTTGTTGGGGCTTCAATATATATCCTTAACGCGCATACGCCAACGGATCCCACCATCGACTTAGATGCGGCTCGAGCTCTGATCGAGGATCACCGTTGCACGCTGCCCTTGATCCGCGCCATGATAATGGGGGCGTTCAGCCGTTCTGCTGGTTGATGGGCATCCGTCGCGCAGCGTTATAAAGAATAAGGGGGGCAGGGGTATAAGGCATGAGGTTCACTGCTGCCGTCAGTTCCCCACCGAGTCTAACCCTAGTCCGATCAAGAGGGGAGTGATGTGAGCGACGGGAAGCTCCATCGGTGTCGCTACTGGATCGCGCCTCATTGCAACCTTGTTCGCTTCTCTTATAATCCGTCTTTTTCAGCTTGTTTTTTCAGCCGGAATAGTGTTTTTCTCTCACAACAAATCAGCCGGAACAGTGTTTCTACTTGTTTTTTCAGCAAAGCGAATGGGGCCTACGATGCTACTTCTACTCCGACATCAGTGTCCACGTCGCGGCGGTGCCATGACCGCCACTGCATGCGACGAGGTACATCACCAAGTCCTTATCTAAGTTATGTTTTACCCACTAGATCTCCGTCTAGAAGGTCTAGAAGTCTATCATCTACACCCGAAGGTCGGTGTGCATTGTCTGCAAAATTCTCAGTCTCCCACACTAATCCAGTGGTCACTAATTAAATTCTCATCCCCACAGACCAGCTACGTACACATTTTTTAAGCGAAATCAGACCAACTACACATTAGTTGAGAACGAATTGATAAAAGGTTAATTGGCTAAATTTAGACCATAAGATCTAAACAGGGCTTTAGAGAGCAACATTTCCTTTCCTTTTCCTCTCTTATATCTAGGGAGTATTCTTTAACTAGTTGATCTACAAGCATTCACTTCATGTCTTCCAGTAACAAACAATAAGAGGCTACAGTACTCCCTTAAAAAAAGGCTACATAATCTTGCAATGCGCTAATGTCAATCAAGGCCTCACCCTCATCGGGCCGTGCTACACGTTTGTGGGGCCATATATATAGTCTTAGTGCAGGAATAATCGGCCCGTCGGAAATAAGAAGTACCTCGTGCAAGTTGGCATTAAATCGATCGCAAAAACCGCTGAAAAGATATCCAATTTTTGAAGCACGGCCTACTAGTTGTGGCGTCTTATGTTGCAAGAGTTATGAACATCAAAATTCAACGAGCGATAAAATTAAGCAAAAAAAAATCACAATTGGAGCGATACTGATAAGCAAACCCGGCCCGTAGAATACGTACAGGTTGTGGTAGGCCATATCATAATAATTCATCAGAACGCAGTACATCGAAGGCACTATATCTTTTTAGATAATTGAAAGCACTATCTATACGCCACATGTTTGTACATCTGTATCCGGACTGTTTGAAGTAGCTAGCAATCCATGCATTTCCTTCTTCACCGTCACACGGGAAAACCTTCAATCAAATATATATGCACAAAGTGAATTAAAGTGGCGTTGGTTCCTTGAACTAAAATGGATTAAAGTGAAGAGAGAGGACAACAAATGAGAGGCATGGTGTCCCCAACACCTTTTAGTCCATTTTAGTTCAGTTTTGTGGACTAAAGGACTAAGAGTACACTTTTAGTCTAAGTGTTTAGCTGTTTACCCCAACAAAAGATCCAATGTTATTTCGTCAAGAAAATTATATGTTTGAGCTCAAATGATTACTGCATATATAGATTATATAGTCCGTACGTACCTCAAATCTTTAGTAAACAGAGACCCGATCATGTATGCAAGCTCATACATATGGAATGGAAGCAAGACACGGGCGATCATCAGCCGATCACTCAGGTGCAGGTGCAGTGCTCAGAGGCGTCGACGCTGCTGACGAAAGAGGAGAACGAAACCACCGGCAGACGCCCACCGCGACGGGCCACGTCATCACGCCGGCAACCTTCCACGCGAACATGGAGGTGAGCAGCGTGCAGAGCTCCCAGATCAGCCGTTCCCTACCCACAGCCGCACGCTGAGGCGAGTACGAGCGGTGGTCAACGGGGCAGAAGCAGAGGACGACTCTCTGCCAGCAGCGCAAACTCGAAGGCAGATTTTATTCAAAGTGACGAACTGGCAAACAATACAAGAAAGTGCAGGAAGCAAAAAAAGGAAATGAACACGCCCGGCAGCGAAACGCAGACTGACATCGACTGTCTCCAAAGCATTAATTAATTAAGGAAAAACGCCCAGAACCCTCCTGCGGCCGTGGCGACGGCCAAGAGCCAGACCACCGCGGCCACGGCCGGCGGCATGAGCGGTGCTACCCTCGAGGCGAACATCGAACCAGAGGAAGAGGAAGAGGAAAAACAATAATTTTTTTTCTATTTTTTCCATCAAGCCAAGGAAAGATATTTATGCTTGGTCATTTATTAGTGGCGGATATGGATGCTGAACGTGTGGAAGCGACGAAAGGACACTGGTACGATCCACCATGTCTCCCTCGCGTTGACGCACACACTTGCAACGTGTGCCTTGGCGCTAGCGTACGTTTATATCGTAACTCAGCAGTGTTCAAATTCAAAGCTCCATACACGTGCAAAGGCACAGCCAGCCGACTGACCGAAGCGGCGCCCGCCTAGCTATTCATGCCAAGCCGACGGCGATAATAGCTCAACTCCCATATGGCCATATGATATGATTTGGTTCATTTTATGAACGGCGCTTAGTATGTGTTTGGTTCTGAGATGGACGAATAGAGGATGATGGAATGAATTGATCCTATTTTTAAGATGTTTGAGGACTGTTAGGGACGGGACCATTTTCGAGTGGAATATACCCCATATTTGGCCGTTTTTTTGTGTGCAAATTTGGCCCTTTTTTTTTTAAATTCACGTTTACACCACTGGACGACGTAAATTTAACTTTGGATCATTTTCTCAACGCCATGCCCTACGTCGCCGAGGTAACACGTCTCGGCACCATGAGATTGAAGGCTACAAATTACGTGGCTGTGGACGTGACGCTGACGTGACCAAAGCTCATGGCCACATTCTACCGAATAAACAAAAAAATATCTCAACCAAACGCAGAACATATTTGTCCACCCTAAAAAATCAGGGACAAGACCGTTCCGTCCTACCATGTCTCAAATCAAGCACACGCTGAGGCGAGTACGAGCGGTGGTCAACGGGGTAGAAGCAGAGGACCACTCTCTGCCAGCAGCGCAAACTCGAAGGCAGATTTTATTCAAAGTGACGAACTGGCAAACAATACAAGAAAGTGCAGGAAGCAAAAAAGGAAATGAACACGCCCGGCAGCGAAACGCAGACTGACATCGACTGTCTCCAAAGCATTAATTAATTAAGGAAAAACGCCCAGAACCCTCCTGCGGCCGTGGCGACGGCCAAGAGCCAGACCACCGCGGCCACGGCCGGCGGCATGAGCGGTGCTACCCTCGAGGCGAACATCGAACCAGAGGAAGAGGAAGAGGAAAAACGCAGACTGACATCGACTGACACCGCGGCTTTCACCTTGGCATCCCTGCCCCGGCCGCCGCCCCGCTCAAACTCACGGAGGCAGAGGAAGAGCAGCACGAGCGCTGCGTCCGCGCCGAGCACGAACGCCACGGAGCCGGCGTCACCCCAGGAGTTGTAGATGGCGAGCGCCGAGTTGAAGGTCAGGGCGCCCAAGCCGAGCTTGGTCAGGGTGGAATATCCTCGGTCGGCCATGTGAAATCGAACAATCTTCCGCGCGCGGAGAGGGGGACAAAGCGAGCACAAGAGTTGATATACGGCTGCTGGTGAAAGGCGAAGGCTTCTTCCTTTTGTACCAGTGGCCGGGTCGTCGTTTGGACAGACGACTGAAGACGCGGCGGCGCGTACGATCGAGGCCAAGTTTTGTTCAACTCTTCCCTATCCCTCAGTTCATGCTGGGCCTGGCTCGCACCGCACGCGCTGTGAATTGTGTTGTGTCCGACACGCGCGACGTGGCCGCCATTTCGCGATCGCATCGCACGGAGCCTTGCCATCGGGCATCTGACTCAGAATGACGTGTCGTGCCCTGCGGTGGGGGTGGCACTGCCGTAGGATGACAGCCATCCGAGCTTCTGACGTGCAGCTGATTCACCTTCCACGCCATCTTTTAGTTCCAACCCAAAATCTCAAAAGTGCTACTGATAGCCATCACATCGAATGTTTGCGGTCCATGCATGGAGCATTAAATGTAGATTTAAAAAAACTAAATTACACAGTTTGATAGGAAATTGCGAGGCGAGAGCGTTTTGAGCCTAATTAGTCCATGTTTGAACACTAATTGTTAAATAAAAAGCGAAAAGTGCTACTGATGGCCCAAAATTCCAACTTCCTGAAACTAAACACGGGCTTAGTCTTTGTGCATCGCCGCGTCTGGCTCCAAAAATCATAAGAAAAACGTGAGTGTGCAGGATAGCTCTTTGTATAGAGATGAGCTCGCCTCGTGGTACCTTCCTGCAGGTTCAGCGAATGTTGCTTGGCTGGGTTGGCGCATATGTAGACCTGGCAATGAATTTGGTCCTTCCGTCCGTCATTTAACTGACCCAGCGTGACAGCCAAGAAAAAAAGAGAGCTGCACCGGTCCTTTCTACGGGACAGTGCATGGGAGCATGTGCGGCCACTCGTTCAACGTGGGGTGTACGCGGCGTGGGGCAGCGCTTGTGAGCTCGTGCAACCACTCGTTCGGCATGGGGCGTGGGGGGGAGAGAGGGACCGGCAGAGGGAGTAGGAGCGCGGTGTTAGATGATAAGCATATGTGTTAGTCTAGGTTCATTGTATCTTAGACTCATGCATGCGTGTATTGTAGATGGGAGGTGATCCTTGATTGTAGGACTCTCCTTGTTTTCTTGTTGTAACCATATATGTGCATATATAACACGCAACCATGGACCTGAGAAGGTACCACGTTCCACCAATTCTCACATGGTAATCAGAGCATCTATCCTAGCGGAAAAACATGGCGCTTGCATCCCCTTCCACCGCCGCCGCCCTTGCCGGGTTTTCCCCTCTCGGCATGTTCCCGGTCAAGGAGAAGTTGACCAGGAATAATCATCCTATGTGGAAGCTCCAAGTCATCTCCGGCCTCCGAGGTGCGGAGATGGAAAAGTTCATCGACCCGACGGAGAAGCCGCCGGAGAAGTTCATTCCCCCCAAGGACGAGGCGGACGATGGGAAGCCAGGCGCAGATGCGGCACCCATTCTGAACCCTGAGTTCAAGAAGTGGGTAGCCCAAGATCAGCAAGTCCTTTCCTACCTGCTTGGATCCCTCTCACGCGAGATCGGATCTCAGATCACTGCGGTGACCACCGCAGCGGAGGCGTGGACTGCGATTCAGGCGCTTCATGCGTCACAATCAAGAGCCCGAATCATCAGCACAAGAATGGCTCTTGCTACCGCGTCCAAGGGTGCATCCTCGATCAGCGAGTTCTTCACGAAGATGAAGGCTCTGGGAGACGAGATGGCATCTGCCGGATGTAAGCTCGAAGATGAGGAACTCATCTCCTACATCTTGACCGGGCTAGATCAGGAATATGATCCAGTGGTGACAGCGGTGGCGGCGCGAGTTGAACCGATCACCGTGAACGAGCTCTATCGCGCAATTTTATCTCCTTTGAGCAAACAAGCATGGAGGCCGAGGAGTGGGGACAGCGAGTCCTCTCGTGAACATGGCCACCAAGGATGGCCGTGGTGGCAGCAACTTCACAACAACAACGCTGCGATGGCGGGCGTGGAGGCCGTGGTGGCGGCATGACGACGAGAAAGGAGGACGCAGCGATGGCGCGTTTTGAACCAGCGTCTATGGCCAAGTCTGCGTGGCAAGGAAGGATACACAGCCTACCGATGCTTCAAACGGTATGATTCATCTTATCGGGGTCCTCCACAAAAAGATCTGCTGCCGCGCCACCGGTTCATACGATGTCGACACAAATTGGTACATGGACACCGGAGCCACGGATCATGTCACTTTGGCGAGTTGGAGAAGTTGACCGTCCGTGACAAGTATCACGGGCGGTGATCGGTGCATCTTTGCAAACAGGGCAGGTATGGAGATTGCTAATGTTGGTCACGATTATTTGCATTCACCTAATCTTCATCTCCGAAATATTCTTCATGTCCCACAAGCACATAAAAATCTCTGCTTACAGAAATCGACTACGCTCGTGATAATAATGTTTTTCTTGAATTCCACCCCCACCATTTTTCCATTAAGGAACAGTGTCAAGAAAATCCTCCACACAGCAGCGAGATGTGATGTGAGAGGGCCTCTATCCTTTGAAGCTACCATCCAAGTCGTCTCCAAATAAACAAGCTTTTGGTGCAGTCAAGCCTTCCACTTCGCTATGGCATCGCAGGCTGGGCCATGCATCATCTCGGTCATCCAGCAGGTCCTAAGCCGCCATAAGCTTCCTGTTTCCCATAGTCAAAATAATACTAGGGTGTGTGATGCATGTCAGTCAGGCAAGAGTCATCAATTGCCTTACCCTAGATCTACCAAAGGTGTCGAGTCATCCTATGGATCTCGTTTTTTCCGATGTATGGGGCCCCGCCCCAACTCTATTAGTCGCCATAATTATTATGTGAGTTTCATTGATGATCACGGTAAGTTTGTCTGGATATATTTGTTGAAACACAAATCTGAAGTCTATCAGTGTTTTCAAGATTTTCAAAAACTTGTTGAGCGACAATTTGATCAGAAAATTCGTGTCATACAAAAACAAGCAGATTGGGGAGGGAATATCAAGCACTAAACTCCTTTTTCAGCGCATAGGTGTAGAACATCATGTTTCATGCCCTCATGCGCATCAACAAAATGGGTCGGTCGAACGCAAAACACCGACACATTGTTGAGATGGGTCTTACCCTCCTTGCACACGCCTCTATGCCTCTAAAATTACAGGGATGAAGCTTTTCTCACTGCAGTCTTTCTTATAAATCGCTTGCCGTCTAAAATCATTGATGACAAAACCCCTTTGAGAAACTCTTTGGCCGTCCACGAATACACCTTCCTACGCACCTTTGGCTTACTATTGTGTAGCCAAATTTATGCCCATACAATTCCAAGAAACTTGAATTCATATCCAAGCAATGTGTGTTTCTAGGATATAGCAATATGCACAAAGGTTTCAAATGCTTAGACCCAAAAGAAGGAGAGTTTACATATCCGGGATGTTGTCTTCGATGAAGAAGTTTTTCCTTTCTCCTCTCTTCATCCCAACGCAGAGCACGACTTGAGCCGAGCTTGCTCTCCTTCCCGATATCCTTAAGAACCCTTCCTCGGTTTTTGAGAATGCAAAATTGGTGACCAGCATTTGCTTTCTCCTGTCTTTACTAACCGCCATCGAGCCATGCATCGTATGTTGATGGTACAGGAACAAACCATGGCGAAAAAGCTGCGGGGACAAGAAAAACTACTGCTGTTGGCGGGCATTATTGGTCAGGTCACCCATCTGGCGACAATGCGCGGCCGAGGCGGATCCGTCCGGCAATGACGACTACTGGCAAACATCGAGCGATCGGCGCGATCACCTTGGGATTGGAACACGGGGCCTCACCGATCCTATCGAGCCGGATCATCTGCGGTGCCGAAGTGCGCGCCACACCGCTGGATCGGTCTCTTCGACACATAAGCCCGATCCAGGCGAGGGGCGCCGGATCACGCATGGGATTCAACGGTGATCCTCCCGGTGGATCTTCTTCAAACGAGCTCTCTGCAACCCTCGCTATCCACGAGAGCGGTGCTACGCACCTACTTCGATGCTCCATTTCTTGCCGCCGATCCTCAAAGACCGGTTACTCGGCTTCAACGTGGGATCGTAAAGCCCAAGGAGTACACGGATGATGCGATGCTGTTGGTGCATGAATGCACCGATCAAAAGCGAAGAGCCGAGCTCGTTGGAAGAAGCACTCCGAGATCAAAATGGACATCGCGCCATGGAAAACGAACACCAAGCCTTGGCGAGAAACAAGGCGTGGCATCTTGTTCCTCGGCCCAAGGGGAGAAAGCGTCATTGGATGCAAATGGGTTTATAAAGTGAAGCGCAAAGCTGATGGCACTGTGGATCGATACAAAGCTCGGTTGGTTGGTTGCTAAGGGTTTTAAGCAACGTTATGGCATTGACTATGAAGACACTTTCGGTCCTATTGTGAAAGCCGCCACTATACGGTGATTTTATCTATTGCGATATCAAGAGATCGGTCACTTCGTCAACTTGATGTCCAAAATGCTTTTCTCCATGGGTATCTAGAAGAAGTATATATGCACCAACCACACGCTATGAAGACAAGACTCATCCAAATTATGTTTGCAAGTTGGACAAAGCTCTCTCTACGGGCTAAAGCAAGCACCAAGGGCTTGGTATGCAAGATTGTGCAAGAGGCTCGCAAGAGTTGGGATTTGTTCCATCCAAAGTCGACACGTCATTGTTCTACTATAGCCGGGTGAGTATACTATTTATATACTAGTATATGTTGATGACATTATTGTTGCTAGCTCCTCTCCCAAAGCTACAACAGCATTTCTTAAGGATCTGCAGAAGGATTTTGCATTGAAGGACTTGGGTGATTTACACTACTTGTCAAGGACCTTGGGTCCTCGGATAGCTGGACCTCGGCTACGTAGTTCGTAACCGCGATCCGTCTTCTCCGGCGAGGTTTTCCCCTCCGCCGCAGAGCTTAGCTTTGTTGAGAGAGAGAGATAG